TTYWSGRAAAAAAAWTTGCAATTTTCTTAAAAATAGATCGCCTGGCACTTTTACCAAATGCGCATTTTGTTGATCTTTTTATCAGTTGGCGCAAAAAGGTTGTTGYGRGAATATCTGAAAGCACAATATATGAAAGTCACTATTTCGAGAAATTTACCTTGAATCCTGAAGATAGTGTATTCAAAGAACAAAAAATGCATTGTTGGTCGTTCAATCACCGTTCGTTCAAAAGGAGTTTTCGTGTTTTCAGAACTAAATATACCAGCTCCATACAATCACAGCTTCAATATAAAGCAATAATTTAAAGATTGTTAGAATTTTCATTTTGCCACGCAGTCAAGCCGGTGTATTAAACAGCAACAATGCATTGTTGTCTTGGAATGCTGTGCAGTTACAGTATTCAAGGTTTCTTTTAGTAATAGRAATTATTCTGAAATACCAGTTATCTTTCGCGCGAAAAAGGTATATATAAAGGTATATRTTTAAACTTTTGCTGCTGTTTTGTGTTTATAATGATTTATATAATAAACAGAATATTACATGGACGCTTGGAAATACGAATTTTATTTTTATATTTATTGTTTTGTCACTAAATCCGAATATGTCCCTTGTCTWATATTAATCTGCTTYACATATAGGTTTTTATTTTCAAATGAGCAGTATTTCTTAAATAATATCATAACTCAGAACAGTTGCATTGCTTTGCCATTGGTGCAATAAGTATTTTATTCTAAGCCCTGCTATAGATATCTCTTTAGTTGAATCATTCAGCCCATTAAATTGCTGAAAGTCACCTAAAGTCGTCCAAAATCGCTGAAAATCGCCTAAACTCTCCCAAAATCGCTAAAAATTCACTGAGGTTTTATAACAATTTTTGCCAAAATCGCCTAAAATCGCACAAAGTCGCTCAATGTTACAGCGATTTTGGGTGCCGGAGTAGGCCTTTGAAAGAAATGTGTTCTCGCCTATTACTCCTTTTGTTGCGGGTTTCTGAAACTCTTTTGCCAATCCATCGATTGCCTTGTCAATATCACTTTTGGTGCTTTTAATCTCTTCTATAATCCTTTTTTCCATCTCGCCTACGGGCAGAACGTTTTTGGATTTTTCATAGACCTCGTCCCCTAGTCCTCTCTTTCACATCGTTGACCTTGTCAGACATCTCAGTCTTGCTCTCTGAGAGGTTGTCTACTACACTCTTTCGGATGTCGATATTMCTTTCCACTGCATTAGGGAGCTTGTTCAACTCATCATGGATTGGCTTCATTTGSTCCTTCAGTTCTTCCCTGACAAACAAACTGTTTTCAAGAATAGTGAGGGTAAAGGATTCCTTTACTGCCACTCCAATATTGAAAACCTGTAGTGCACGAGCTCTTCGTTAGTCATCTTTTGAATACTTGCACTAGTACTGAGAGATATCTATTCCAAGGTTTCGGATATCTTCTTCTTGTTGTATAGGTGCCCTTTCTTCATTTTCWCCTCTTGAGAGACGTAATTTTTTAGCTGGAACTTCATCCGCCATTGTTTGCTSAAAAGCCACGCCGAATGACATCTCTTATCCACTAGSYACCCAAATTTCTGCGCATATGTTATCTTCACAACCCGGCTTTTCCACGTGTTCTCAGGGTAACGCTACGCTTTTTATATCAGTTTCAGCCTATCGGGATTCGTGAGGCGTACGGAAACCCAACGGCTGACGGAACTATTAATATAAAGCGTGTCAGCGGGAAATCAAAGTAGGATCATAGCTTCCAGATTCTTACTGATACATRTAATGAGTTATATCATACTGCTTGCTTTAACGTCAAAGAAGTGGCGCCTGGAAAAAGATATCTCTGCTGTTTTTTTTCCTAAAACTCGCACGTGTCACACCTATTCATTAACCTGTGCTAATTTTTCCTGGATCACGCACACCTGTTGCCACCATGACAGATAACTGATTCATTTCCCGGAACTCGCACGTGTTACACCTACTTCTACACCTGTCGTCAAAGTCTATTTATACATTATTGCAAATTGCTTAAAATCTTATTAAATCAACTAGTCGTTTTGTCTTTGCTTTACTCAAGCAATAAAGTTGTTTTCAATAACCCGTGAAACACACTTTAGCGTATTTATCGCTATTACACTTTGACTCTTTTGTTTTTTATTGTCTCTACGCGACTTTTACGATCTATTACACTCTAATTATTACACTTTGTTTCACAGGTTTATGAAAACCACTCTAGTTCGGCAGCCTGAGTCCCCAGCAGTCACGTACGCTATTGTCAACTTTCATATCCGAGCAGGAAACTGGGTACAAGTTTTTAAAATTGTAGAAATCGGTGTGTGACTAAACATTATCTGAAAGAGCAAATCTAAATCAATAAAAAGGCAAAGTTTGATGGAAATCGAGTCAATACTTCAAAAATTATAGCCAGTCAAAAACTCTCTTATTCAAGTGTACATCTATAGTTGAATTGTGGGGAATGCTATATATTCTTTGTGTAAATTTTAATATTTGTGAACAGCTTCAAGTTCTTAGATATTTATCTGAACTAAACAAAACTTGGGGATATTATCAATTTGGATGTGCTCTTCCGGATGATATAGGTAACTTGGCGATTTTTTCAATTTTAAAACATGCTTTAAAACACAGCTTCCTGCTCGGACATGAAAGCCAGCAATAATAGCTATTCCATGCCCACAATATCTCAGACCTGTTTTGCCTGGGTAGCGACATATATACATGTATTTCATAAAACGGTGAATACTGAAGATAGTGTGTTCCAAGAACGAAATACACTGTAGGTTTTCTGCGCCGTTCAAAAGGAGTTTTCGTGCTTTCAGATTATACCAGCGGCAATACAATGGGCTTCAATGGAAACGCAACCAACGCATCTGATATAGATGGAACAAACGTGTAGAAAACGCAGTAAAAAATAAGATCACATCATCTCCCGGGGGGGGCACTCCCATATATTTGCAATACGGGGACGTGCCGCTGGCCAGGGTATGGTTTTTGGCCTTGCTGTCTTAAACAGGGTATACATTTCACCCGAAATTGTCTTAAACAGGCTCGACAATTTAGATAAAAGANAATCTGCGCTTCTTCGATTCAAATCTGCAATTCTTCGATTCAAATATGTAATTCTTCGATTCAAATATGCAATTCTTCGATTTAAATGCAAATATTCAAACCATTCTTTGATTCACACTGTCCTGATCAGTCGAGTCGAATGTGCAAGTCTTCAGTCAATTCTGAAAAGGGATATTTATTGTCAGGTTAATCAATGACGTATGGTTGTGGTTGGGGAACATGCGGACGTACATCCTGGCTGGAATCCTTCAGAATCRCTTTCAGCTTYCTCCCTGCATCTTGAATGATTTCAAAGATTGGTTCTATACTTTCCTCTAGACCTTTAATGGCGTTATTCAAGGTGACGATCCTATCTCGACACGTCTTAACATACTTCATTTTCTCTTGAAAACTTTCGCATAAYTTTTGGAGCTTTTTGGCTTGGTTGTCTTTAAGCTCAACATCCAACCCTGCCAACTCGGTAGCCAAGAAGACACTCCAAATCATGAYTTCCGTTTGTGCCAAAGCGCTTGATACATAGATCATGTATTTTCCATCAACATGATTGACCTCGAATTTACCACTTTTGCATTTCATAGCGATRCCAGATCTGACGGACAACATGACGCCCACTTTGACATCGTCGGACAGCACATTATTTTTRAATTTATCAATTTCAGTTTTAGGTACACTGGCTTGGTAGTTCTTGACTTCAATCATTACTTGGTAACCTTCTGKAGTTGACAAACGAATGTCTCCCTTTCTTCTTTCTCTGGAGACATCGTTGAAAGTGAAGTGAGGAAAGTTCCTTSTTAATATAGAATGCACTGTGTTCTCACTAACTATTCCTTTTTTTGCAGGTTTTTGGAACTCTTGAGCTAATCCATCAATTTTCGCAGTAATTGCTTCCATGCGACGACCAGTTCGCATTTCCATCTCCYTAACACTGTTACTGATCCGTRTTTCCATSTCTGCTACTGGTAGAACCTTGCTTGATACAGAATATATGTTATTCAAAAGGTTTGTAGTTAAATCATCAACTCGTCTGGCCATCTCGGTATTGTTTGCTAACAGACTCTCTCCTACCATGTCACGTATTTTCAACATRTCCTTTTCSACTGYCAGAGGAAGATTCTTCATTTCATTATGAATTGGGTTCATTTGCTTGCCCAATTCTTCCTTGACAAACGAACTGTTTTCAAGAATTGATAGGGTAAAGGATTCCTTTACAGCAACTCCAATATTGAAGGTTTGTAAGAGTTCTTCATCAGTCATCTTTTGAATACTTGCACTGTATTTCGAAAGATCTAGTTGGAGGATTCGAGTTAGTGGCTGCATCGGTTTCTTTTCTTCATCGTTTTCCATTCCTTGCTCACTTGCTTCGCCTGAAAGGCGCAATTTCTTAGCTGGAACATCAGCGGCCATTGTTTCGCAAGACAACTACAGTTTGCTGTAACGTAATAAAAGCRACGCTGAATGACTGTTCTCGGAACTCAAATATGAATTTGCATACGTGTCACGGTCTGGTCAACTGTCTGACAGCGGTTTTTAGGGTCACCCCAAGCCTTGTAGAAACGCAGCGTGACCATATTAACGGCTTTAAATTAATTTATTTTCATAAATTTTGTGACAGYATCCTAGATTTTATTTGGAAACTGGGTTCCACTGAACTTTCCTCACRMKATMKCSSCGCKMTWWT